GGGGGGGGGGGGGGGGGGGGGGGGGGGGGGGGGGGGGGGGGGGGGGGGGGGGGGGGGGGGGGGGGATGTGCGGGTGTGGGTGACCCTGAGTTGTGGTGCCAGGTTGGTGACGCTGCTGCGGGAGCACTGCGGGACTCTGAGCGAGAAGAGCGTCAGCGTCAACGTGGCCCTCGTGCACGAACTGCTGGGAGAGATGGTGGTGGGGCAGCCGGGGGGTTGGGGAGGTCTCTGTGGGGCTGGGGGCATCCCAAAGGGCTGGGGACATCCCAAAGGGCTGGTGGTGTTCTGTGGGACTGAGGACATCCTGTGAAACTGAGGGGCATTGCAATGGGGCTGGGGGTGTTCTGTAGGGCTGGGGACGTCCCAAAGGGTTGGGGGTGTGCTGTGGGGCTGGGGGCATCCCATGAAGCTGAGGGGCATTGCTATGGGGCTGGGAGTGTTTTGTGGGGTTGGGGACATCCCTATGGGGCTGGGGCTGTCCCTATGGGGCCGCTGCCCCATGGATTTCCCCCCCAGGACTTCGGATACATTCAGACCACCGCCACCGAAGTGCTGCGCAGCGCGACCCACGGAGAACCCGAGACCACCAAAGCCTTCAGCCTGCTGGACCTCCGCTCCGTGGGGCTGGTGAGGGGGTCTGACCCCGCCGTGACCCCGCCGTGACCCTGCTGTGACCCCGCCGTGACCCCAAACCCCTCCTGCTGTCCCCGCAGTTCGGCGCTGAGACGCAGCAGAGCAAAGTGGCGCCCGGCTCCATCACCAACCGCCCGGTGCTGCCCCCCAGGGGCGAGCAGGTGGGGACCCCCACAAAGACCCCCCAAAGACCCCGCAGTGACCCCAACAGAAACCCCAACACTGGCCCCACAGCGACCTCACAGCAACCCCACAGTGACCCTCCACGCTGACCCCATAAGAACCCCACAGGGACCCCCATAGTGACCCCACATGACCCACTCCGACCCCGCTGTCCGCAGCCCGCTCGCAGTGAGCTCTTCGTGGACGTCGTGGAGCGCCTGACGGTCGTCATTGCTGCCAATGTGAGCGGGGACGGGGCTGGGGGCGTCGTGTGACCCCCTGTGACCCCATGTGACCCCATGTGACCCCACATCACCCCACGCAGGGGACGCCCCTGAAGGTGGACGTGCAGGGGGAGATCCGGCTGAAGAGCTTCGTGCCTGGGGGCTGCGGTGAGGGGGCAATGGGGGACGATGGGGGGCAATGGGGGATGGGGTGGTAATGGGGGGGAATGGCAGGGGGCGATGAGGGGCAGTGGGGGGCAATATGAGGATGGGGAGGGCAACGGGGGGTGATGGGGCAATGGGGGGACAGTGGGGCCGGTGGGGGGGGTCCACAGGGGTGATGTGGGTGGTGGTCTGGTGGGTGACTGTGGGGTGTTTTCCCCCCCCCAGAGCTGCGCATGGGGCTGACGGAGGAGCTGAGTGTGGGGACGGAGGAGCAGCGCGGTGAGACCGCAGCATCCCAAACCCCTCACATCCCCCTCTGACCCCCCCGCCCCCCCTGACCCCTTTGACCCCCCCCCTCCCCCAGGCTATGGCCGCCTCCCCCTGGCTGCTGTCGCCTTCCACAGCTCCGTGGACCTGGAGGAGTTTGAGCAGGAGCGAGTCCTGCGGGTGACCCCTGGCCCGGGGGAGGTATGGGGGGGAGTTGGGAGGGGTATGGGGGGGGGTGACACAGAGCCCCCCATGGCTGCTCCCCCCCCAGGTGACCCTGATGCGCTACCAGCTGGCTGAGGACGTTCCTGTGCCGCTGCCCTTCCGCCTCCTGCCCAGCGTGGAGTGGGACCCGGCGGGGAGGTGACAACCAGGACCTCCCCAGTGTGTCCCCAATATCCCGCCCCCAATGCCCCCACAATGTGTCCCCCAAATTTTGCCCCCAATGCCCCCCCAATATGTTCCCCCCGATGTCCCCCCGGTGCCCCCCATTGGGGTGACCCCCCTTCCCCCCCGCTGTCTCCACAGGCTCCGCATTCACCTGAAGCTGCGCTGCGATCTGCCCCCAAAACAGTGGGTGATTTTAGGGGGGGGGGGAGCACTAAGATGGATGACCCTAAAGGGGTGACCCCACACTGTGCCCCCCCTCACCCCCCTCCAGCCACGCCATCAATGTTGTGCTGCAGCTGCCGCTGCCCCGGGAAGCGAGCAGGTGGGGGGGGCGGGGGATTCTGGGGGGCTTTTTAGGGGTCCCATTGAGGGGAGGGGGTAATTTTGGGAGTGAGGAAGGGAGGGGTCTCATTGATGTGAGGATTTCAGGGAGAGTCCCTATTTTTGGG